TGTTGATGCAAGATAACTAATTTTGTGATAATAATATCTTGGAATGGTCGAATATTCTTGAGTAATGTGGGTGTTACCTCTGAAGGAAATAATAAAATGATTAAAATTGAACGTGAAATAAGTTTTGAGACATTAAAAGAAAAGATTCATAAAAAATTGCAATTGTCTACTAATCAAGTTATATTTATATTAATTTCACGATTTTTAGTAAATCCAATTGGTAGACAATATACAAATATGGATATATGTGATGAAGAAAATATCAATTGTATGTTAAGTGCTTTTTTACAACAAAATCAGAGAAGTGCAATTGAAGTATATGCAGATATTGCATCGGGTGAAAGTTCTTGTATTCGGACAGAAGGTGTGAACTTAAATGCCACATTTTTACGTGACAATATCTGTGATGATGATGAGCCTGAATTAGGATTAGGTATGAGAATATTTTTTGTTTGATAAAAACCGATATTTAATGTGTTATAAGTATATTTATGTGATAGCAAATTTTATGATTATGTAGAAAGTAAATACCAAGATGAAGATGTTGATGACGACGAAAATGAATGAGATTTTTCAACAGATAGTTCATCAGATACTAATGTGGATGGTGATCTTAATTCAATATTAAATAGTCATGAAAATGCACCACATGGAGGTATTATATATTATATAATTTAATTTATATATTTCATGAATAAAGTATATAAACTTGAGGATTTGGTTGTAATGTAGGCGTGATTGAAACTCCATTTTGGAATTCAAGTCTGCATTATACTTATATTAATTAGGAACATGCTGATCAAAAAATGAAAAATTTAGATGTTCATGTACATGAATCATGGAGGAAGGGTGATGTTGTATATGTTGGACAAGTATTTCAGTCTAAAGAGGAGGTAAAAATGGCTATTAAACATTTTGTAATGAAAACACATCAAAATTATTTTGTTGTGGAATCAAAACCAACTAAGTTGCATGTAAAATGTCCAAACCATACAAGTGGATGCCCCTGGAGAGTAAGAGTAACTTTAGGCAAACTTTATAACAAGTGAAAAATCACAACATATGGTGGAACACATACATGTGTTAATCCAATGATGTCTTTAGACCACAAAAAACTTGATTCAAACTTTATTTGCTCGTGTTCTTGTGTAAGTTTTTCTAAACTATTTGTTGGTTGTTATTTTAATTTTGTAAAATATATTAAAGAATGTTACTGAAATTGATATTCGTAATTGTAGGTATGGTAAAAGAACAACCGTCGGTGCCAATTACATTAATTCAAGAAAGAATTAATGGTCAATTTGGTTATCAAGTTTCTTACAAGAAAGCATGGAAGGCAAAACAAAAAGCTATCGTAAGGGTTTTTGGTGATTGAGATGAATGGTATGCTACATTACCTACATGGTTAGAGTACATGTAATTACATGCTCTTGGGTCTGTTTATAAGATTGAAACGAATGAGTATGTGAGGAGTCACCAAGTTGATAACAGATATCAAGTATTTTATCGGTTATTTTGGTCATTCAGACAATGCGTAAGTGTTTTCAAATTTTGTAAACCTTTAATACAGGTTGATGGTATGTTCTTGTATGGTAAGTACCGATAAACTTTATTGATTGCTATCAGTCAAGATAGAAATAACTGTGTCCTTCCAATTACATTTGCAATTGTGGAAGGAGAAACTTTGTCAGCATGTGAATGATTCTTAGCTCTCATTCGCATTCATGTCACAGAGAAGACAAGTATCTCTTTAATATCTGATAGACATCAAAGTATCAAAGGTGCAGTTTCTAATCCACATATAGGATGGCAAGCTCCCAATGCATATCATGTGTATTGCATTTGTCATATAGCAAGCAATTTTAATCATCGATTCAAGAATCCAATATTAAAGAAAGAGTTAATAAAATTAGGTATGAATCTGATTGTTTTTATATACGTGCAGTTCGTATTTCCTGTTTACAAAGAATACTATGTTTTGAATAATACTATTCCAACATCCTTTTCATTGGTTTGTATAGGATACACAACATGCAAACAAAAATTTGAAGAAAAACTTCAACGATTTCATAATCAATCTGAGGATATCAAAAGTTAGATTGACTGTATCTCCAAAGAAAAGTGGATGCTGCCTATGACGACGAAGGAAGGCGTTATGAACATATGACAACAAATTTATCAGAAGCAGTTAATAAAATTTTTAAAGGAGCCAAAAATTTGCCTATAACTATACTGGTAAAATATACATACTCACACTTAGTTGCATATTTTGTGAAGCGTGGCGAAGACGCAACGTCAGAATTAAATGCAAGGATGAGATTTTGTTGTAAATTGATGCAACAAATTGAAAAAAATTAAGAGAAAGCGTCTTCACATCAAGTTTAACGATATGACATTCAAAGGACAAGGTTTGAATTAGAAGAGACATTTAATACTATCACTCAACACGGTATTGCCAATACGGAAAGTTTCAAGCATATCGATTTCCATGCTCCCATGTTATAGCTGCTTGTGGATCTGTCAGTATTGATTATTGGCAATATGTTGATCCTGTTTATTTAGTGCAATATGTTGTTAATGCATACTCAATGCAGTGGTGGCCTCTTGGAAGTGAAAGCAACATTTTAACATCAGGCGAATATAAATTACTACCTGACAAAGAAAGAATAAGGAGAAAAGGTCGAACAAAATCTACACATATAAGGAATGAAATGAATTGGGTGGATTCTCAACCAGGACAATGATGTACTTTGTGTAGAGAAATTGGTCATAACCAACGTCATTGTTCAAGACAAAGTGGCAACAATTGATGATTTTGTTGTCTAATATTATTGTCTGCCTGTTTACGTTTGTGCGATGAATATGTTGTTTAGAATTACATGCTAAGTATGTTGTGTTGGACTTAGATTCAAAACTTGTCATCAGTTATATATCTTGTTTTAGAATGTATTGTATTATGTTTATCCATTACCAGTTTTAACCCAAAAGAATATGACCAGAATGAGACGTATTATTTATATGCAGAAAATTATAAATAATGATATAACCAATATTAAAAAGACATACACGTTACGATACAATATAAAAATATTACATAGATATGTCATCATGCACACAAACATACTATATATAAAAAAAGGGCACGTCGCAACTATGATTGTTGACCTCCCTAGTGCGATTAGTCCTCATGTGGGGTCAAGATGCAATGTTGAGGTCGATCTCTGACCTCTCGATGAGGATTACAACGCACATATTGCTTGCCATCATCTGCAACTGCTCCAAACTAAGAATTTATATCAATGTCAATCTCATCCAAAGGCTCTGTAGAAGATCATCCCCCTGTCTCAAATAATGGACCTAGTGCAGATGGTGTGAACAATGACAGATCGTATGGAGGGGGTCATAAAATGATGAAAGTCGAGTACATACTCGTGTTGTCCAGTACTGAACGGAGACCCAACATGTGTGATAGATTGTGATGAGTGAAAATATAAACTTTGACTAAAGTGAGAAGGGATAAAGGGCACATGTAAAGGGACATAATATAGTCCGTCTTGTCTAACAGGTAGAGGGGGTATATACCATGTCGCAGCTTACACCTGTGTCCTATGTCGTTGCAAACCTCTTCCTTCTTTGCGTCCCTCATGCTGTCCAAGATCAATATGCGGGTCTTTTGTGTGTCCAGTTTGAACAGGTTGGTCGAATGACGAGACTGATTCTAAGATACACGCCTGTTCACTCTGTAGAGACAACATGATCTCGTTTAATGTACGCAGCTCATCAAATGTGAATGAATCTTGGCCATCAGTAGCCAAATAGTATGTCCTCTCATGTGCATCTCCTTGCATTGCATAAAAAGCTGTAAACTATATGATTAAATTGTACTTAATGTGCGTAATATTAACCAGCAATGACAAGATCATGTTACCATGTCTAATAATATTAACAGGTATACAAATACATACCAGAAGTGAAAAAACGACTACATCTCTTGTCATCCAACATCTAGTATGACTCATATACCACCTCATGTACTCCGAATTAAAACTCAATAATCCAATTTGAGGGGCATTGCTGAAAACCCAATCCATGCGCCTCTCTCATGATGCTAAGACGTGTCTAAACTTGTCATTCCAATTCTCTCCCGTCTTCTTTCTAAGTGTAATGTCATGTAAGACATCAGGTTGATATAAAGCATGAGGAATGTGTTGCACCATTCCAAATTGACGCATTACACGGTCCGGTTGATACCACTCACAAATCTGAATGCAAATAAAGGGCACCACTGACCTCCAAATGTTCATCCATTGCAAACATATGGGCGGCAATGATTCAAGTAACTCCTGACTATAAGGCTACCACATAATCTGATAATTGAAACACAAAATTCATTAAATTCAAACAAATAGAATTTTGTGAATAAAATTATTAAAGTGTTTGAAATTAATAAATACCTCTTCCCATTTAAGACGATCAAGTTTATATCTACAATATGCAACATCTTTCTTCGTCTTTCTGGGCACCCAATTTACTAACCACCTAAATAATAACAAAGTAAACAACATTAATTTGAAATCATTAAATTATACATCATAATTTATCTAAGTAGAAAAGTGGTAAAAATGTTTACCTAGCACCGTATGGAACATCATGCCGCAAATGTGGAGGACTAGGAGGAGACAAACATGGGAATCTATTCCAAGCCCACATAACTAGTAATGGAGTCAAACCACCGATGGCAACTCTGTCAATATTTGTTGCCATGCACAATTTTCTATATAAGAAACTAAGAGCTACTCCTCCCCAACTATATTGCCCTGCGATGGCGAAGTCCTCAAGTAAAAGCAAGTATCGAATTGTGACTCTGCTGCTAGAATGATCTGCTAACATGAACCCTCCAATTAGTCTCATAATGTACACTCTAGCAAATCTTGTTAGTGGAAGCTCGTTCTGATTATGCATAGCAACGTCAGTGAAATGTTGGTCTAACCAACAAAGCTTCAAGCTGCTCCCACAAAAGTCTCTGGTGGTGGCCTAATACCTAGCCTGTCTTCAACTATTTGCGGCCAATTACCGCTGGTCGCTGCATATACTTGAAGTCTATTAACCCGAAGACCTATTTGTATGGCTATATCTTGAAGCGTTATAGTGCACTTTCTTGGTGCCATATGAAACGTGTGTGTCTTAGGCCTCCATCTCTCAATCAATGCAGTGATCAAATGTTTATCCAATGGAAAGTTAGCAAGCTGCGCCACTCCAGCAAAGCCAGCCAACTCCAAATGTGGTAAAATCTCTGCAGGAACACCGTCTAGGCCAGCTGGTATAAACTGACAGTTCCTAACTTTCATCACAGGATGCTCTCGACTATCGCAAATATATTCAGACACATGTATACTTTGAAAACGCAATAATGATGAATTTTCTGGCTCTGGATTAATCATCAAACCTTATTAAGAAGATGAAGTCATATGATAATTTAAAATAAAATGTTAGTATTATTAACAATAACAAAAATTGGTTTGACTCATCTTTCAATTATTTAAATACACAATACTAAATTTAGTCAACATAAATACATAATAAGACCAAATATGCATATGAAACAAAAAAAATAATATTACAATTACATATTAATATCCAATATTATTTTATTTACATTATTTTGTTATATATGTATATACATGCCTGATATTTTATTTTACAATATAATTACAATTTTGTTTTTAAATTTATAATGATACAACCGTATTATTCCTACGACAATTTATATTAGAGTTATAGTTTATCAAAGTTATAGTAGTTTAATATTTATTAACTTACGTAAATAAATTTTAACAATTTTTTTATTAATTGTTACCATTTAATAAATCTAACTTAATCATATTCTTACTTGAATATAATTTTTTTTAATGTGATAACATAAATTTATTTCCTAACCAGAGTTAATATTAATCTAAAAAGCTATAACATTTTATAAATTATTTTAACTATATTTTTTATTATTACAGATATCAAGTTGTAAATTTTTTCAAAAATATGTATAATTATAATTTTATGTAATTAAATTTTTGTTAACAAAAGTTACTAATATAAATTTTATTTTACTCTACAACAATTAGATATTTCTTATATATTTAAAATATAATATGTTTTTAATTTTAAAAAATTCAGTTATTAATTTTTATGAATTCTGAAATAAATTATTTAAATAATTATTTTATATACAATATTACATATTGATTATTTCAATTGAACTATATATATTTCATTTTAATTATTATTTAAATTCCCTCTTCATATCAAATTAAAAATGATTTTATTTTAAATTTTATCATTAAAAATTTAATAATTTCTAATTTACTTGTAACATTTTTTCATGTACTAGTTAATATTTTTGAAAGTCTGTTTACCTTAAATTTTGTTTATTTCTAATAAAAATTATTCTACATTTTAAAGTGTTTTACATTACATTTTTTTTTCCTTTTAATCACCCTCCTAATTAATTTAAACAATAAAAAAGTTTATTACAAATTTTAATAAATAATTCATGTTTTATTATGCATTTTTTTAAAGTATTTATGTATTTTACTATTTTATAAAAATCCTATACCATTAATATATTTTATTTAATAATTACAATAAATATTTCATCTATTTTTACTGACAATAATTACAAAGTTAAACATAATTTAATTAGTTAAACCTACGTATATACATAAAATTCCAAATTTAATGCTAAACTATCCGTTTAAATACAACATTTAATCTATTTCTAAATCTAATTTTTAATCCAATTTTTTTTTCAGATATTACAATTTTAAATTTTTTACATAATATTATGCAATAAATATTTAAGGACTCAAATAAAATATAAAAAAATATATTTATAAAACTTCCATTCTTTGACAAAAATGGACTGTGCACTAACACTTGTATAAAATTTTAAAACATGTAGAAATAGTTATTTTTTCTTATAAATAAAATAAAACTTTTTTATTTCACAATTTTATATTTATCTTTGGATTTTTCTAAAAACACTGCAAAATCGAAAACTTGATTAGAAAAATTTCACATCAACAATGAACAATTTTTTGACGCGTTAATGGATGGAGGGAGGGAAGGAGGAAGGGGAAGAAGAAGGTCGTTCACGACACCCATTTTAACGAAGTCACGTTTTTACACTTCAGATCTTAGTCGATATTTCAAAGTCAACATAGTTATGATTTGAACACGTATCTATTTTTCTCCCAATCGTTAATGTCAAACTACCATCGTCGCTGTTGGGACGATACAAATTTTGTAATGACACGTGACTATTATCGCATTTATAGAACTAATATTTTTTATTATTATTTTTATTATTTTTGTTGATTTCTGCGTGTCAGCTAACAAAAAGGAATGATAATCTATTTAAAAATTGCTATCGGCCATGTAGATGCAATAACTGACAAAAAAATTATCCAAAATTTCATTTCTATAATTTGTTTTATAAATAGTATTATTTAAATAATTTTGCGGAAAGTATCATATTAATTCTAACCCTTTTTTTATCTCCATAAATAAGGCTGCTTTCATATCGAAATAGAAGGATTGCTATCAGCAGCTTTTGATCTGTTTTGTCTCCATGGCCGCTCTTCTGATATTTGTGGCAGTGATGTGATATAAGATGCTGCGTCAACAAGCAAGCGCTGATTCAAAAGCTTCTGCGACAGATGCATGTATCCATGAAGGAGAAGACGAAGGGAAAAAACCAGGAGACGCAAATCGGACATTTATTTGAGGAAGACATGAACGTATAAGCAGTAGAAAAAAAAAACAGAATTAACATTTCAAACGAAAAGAAAATTATTTTAAAAATAATATAAATAAATAAATTAAAAGGAAAAAATTAAAATTTACCTTAAAAATAATAGAATATGAAAGCATTGATTTTTTTTATAAAATTCTTTTATTTATAATGTTTTTTAATAAAAAACTATTTTTATATTGTTAATAAAAAATTTCCTTTACCTAATTGGTAAAAGAAAAAAAAAAGCACCTCCCTTCCTTAAATGCAACTAAACAAAGAAAGTTTAAATTTTTTTGTCTGTTTCCTTCCATTCTCTCTTAATTCTTATCATTCAAACGGATCGTTAGTAAAGACATAATGTGTAGATCATACACCCATATAGATATATTCACCATATAGATAAATTACTTCCAACCATAGAATTTTAATAGCATTCCTACCCTTGGATGAAATCCAAAATTTAATTTCCTTAAAGGTTCATAATTTTTGTTACATCTACAAACCAAATTAAATCGCTGGATAGCGAAAAACTTGCATCATGTCTTTTGGGATAAAAAAGTTTTTAGATATTCGAATTTTTCCATCTCCTTCTGAAAGAAAAATCAAAGGTCTAATCAAGACATACTATGGAAAGGAAAACAAATATATAAGAAAGATGAACGATAAAAATTTATTAAAAATTATAAATAAAAAATAGTAAAGAATGTTATTTTTATAACTTATAATAATTTTTATTCAAAGAATAAGAATATATTAAAAAATATATTACTAGCATTTTTAAACTAAAAATTTAAAAAATGTTTGTTACATATATACGGTAAAAATTATTAGCTTTGCTCACTCAATATTAATTGAGATTTTCTTTAACAAATTCTTTTGGACTTTGATATATTATATCGCATGGTGTCTCTTATCTTTCGGATGATCTCGTGTTGTAATAAATAATTGTCTTCATATTAATTGGTCTAGCTTTATTTATGAGAAATGACATTTGTACAAAGAAATTGCATTTTTGTTAGAGTTTAGAGAAATAATAATAAAATTTTTTAATGATGTAACAAGAAAATTTAAAAATGTATTATAAAAAGTTGTTGCGAAATTATTATAACCTTTATTTATTGACAAGGTCCCTTCATCAAGTTGATATTCAGTCGGATTTGACATTGATTAAAAAGATATAAAAAAAAATACTTACGAGGTCGATAAAACAAAAGGCTTTTTTTTATTGACTAAAAAACTGGATTTGGACCAAATGTCTCGTGAAGAATATCGCACCATAGGTCTGGCCCGAAACTTCGAGAATAGAAGCCCGATTGTAAAACCTGGAGGCCCAATCATACAATGATGCTTCTATAAAATGTTACAAGTCATCTGAAAACCCTAGCTAGCTCTGGTGTGGGTGAACTAGAACCCTTTTCCCCCTGCGGTGACTGCGCGATGGGTACTGTCTCTATCTCCTTCGCTGTTCGGTTTAAGATTTTCTTTCGTGTATCAATGTATTCGTTTTGATATGAATGTGAAGGATTCTTCGGTTTAAGAACATCGATTAGCTTACCTTTCCTTCCTTTGGTCCTCGGGGGTTGCTTTTCTGTTTTTGCATCTTGCTTTCATAAATTGGACATTGATTCTCTACTCTGATTTTTTCCAATCTTTTTTTTTTGGCTTGCTGGTTGGAAATGTTGTCTACGTCACAATATATAATTTCTTCTTGTTTAGTTAGCTCTGTTGAAACCGAAAGGATATTTATTTCAATCCTGTATTATTTTTTAATTGACGTTCAGACTAAGGGAATTTAAACAGAGTTTTCCTTTGGAGCTAGAGTGAATCTGATGAAATTTTTGCCTTTTTTTATTGTATGATTGGCTATAGGTGCCTACAAGTATGTTTCAGAGCTATGGCGCAAGAAGCAGTCTGATGTCATGCGCTTCTTGCAGCGGGTGAGGTGCTGGGAGTATCGGCAGCAACCATCCATTGTTCGTGTGACAAGGCCTACTCGCCCTGACAAGGCTCGTCGCTTGGGCTATAAGGCCAAGCAGGTAACTAATTTTGTGTTTTTTTTTCTCACAATCTTATTGGTATTGATGACTATTTAATATATAGCTTTAGACTTGTGAGGAATGTACCATTTATTTGGTGTTTTGTCTGTTTTTATTTCATATCTCCTTTGGGCATTCTAGCCTGATATGTTTATAATTTTAGTAATTATTGAAGAAGTGACGTGATGGCTACTAGGTGTGATCTCAGAATTTTGGTGAACTGTGGTGAATAATGAATATTTTGCTATCCTTGTATTTATGTTCATATGAACATTATTACAATCATTGGCTGAGTGGCATCATGATTCGTTTTCTCTTTGGGAATTGCTTGTGTAGAATGATTGGGTGCTTCCTGAGGCTAGCTGTATTGAAATGAATAGTTGATCACTCTGACTGAGCGATTGTCTTTCTTACCAATTTTGCTTGTCTTGATTTCTTCACACGTTTATCCACCTTTTTAGTTTTTTGGATTTCATTTACATGGGGCTTGAATGAATTTCATGTTCTTGTTAATGCATGTCACCCCCAATTCCCCTTGCTAAATGTATTAATTGTACTATTTCACTGACTTTGAATTGTATTATTGTGCCAATTGTGTTGTCCATGTAGAGATCCGTTTCACATTATCTTGTTTGTTTTAGTCCGGTGCTGACTGTGACTGTGGCATTGCAGGGTTATGTGATTTACCGTGTTCGTGTTCGAAGGGGTGGCCGTAAGAGACCAGTTCCCAAAGGTATTGTTTATGGGAAGCCCACAAATCAGGGTGTCACTCAACTGAAATTTCAGCGCAGCAAGAGGTCAGTTGCTGAGGAGCGTGCCGGACGGAAGCTGGGTGGTCTTAGGGTTCTCAATTCTTATTGGGTGAATGAGGTTTGTCATCGTATCACCTTTGTTGAAATTGAAACGTGAGCGGTTGTTTAATGAAATTCTACCATTGTGTTTCAGGACTCCACTTATAAATATTTTGAGATAATTCTGGTGGATGTTGCTCACACTGCAATTAGAAATGATCCTAGAATCAATTGGCTCTGCAATCCGGTCCACAAGCACAGAGAGCTGCGGGGGCTCACCTCTGCTGGGAAAAGTAACAGGGGCTTGCGTGGCAGAGGACATCTGTACCACAAAGCACGTCCATCCCGCAGGGCAACTTGGAAGAGAAACAACACCCTGTCCCTCCGCCGCTACCGCTAATTTATCTACTGTTATTTTATTTTGCTTCATTTTCTGGATATTGTTGAGGACAGCATTTGATGTTTTGACATGAAATTTAAGTTTTGAACGTTGTAGTCTCAACCTTTTCCATAATTCGTTGAGTTTTGTTTGTTAAATTAAAAGTTTATAATTGATATTTGTTATCTCTTATATGGTCGATGATTTGATAGACTATTTCAACTCTGTCGATTCGGTGAAATTGCTTAATTCGAATTATCGTTTACTATCAGCATAAAGTTTCTTATTTAATAAATGTTTAATAATTATAATTAGTTGAGTATTTAATTATATATCAGCTGAACTGTTTGAAATTTTTTATCATCTAATTAAAATTTATTTCAATTTTAATATCCAATATTTTTAAAACTAATGTTAGATGCATACACAATTTGATATTCATTCAGAAAGCCTCTCATGTCTGTCTTCAGAGCTTTTGATTGATGCAGTTTTCCTTAAGATTACACAAAGCTTGCCGAATCGTCTCCTCGTCTTGATTGGAATATTTCAGGCAAAGCAATCGCTGTGCAACATGATATGCCCTCTGCATCGAATGATACTGTAAACAGTTGACTTCCATTCTCTTCACTTCCTAATGACACCAGCTTGTTCACATAAGATGTCAGTACTAAAGTAAATATTATTTATAACAATGAATATATATAATTAATATATTAAATTTATGTTGATATATATTATTTTATATTTTTTATTTTAAAAAAATCTAAAATAATATTTACTTAAAAAAAAAAATATTATCCCCGCTCTTTTTCTCTATAACTTCCCTTTCCCAGCAACCCTGAACGTCCAAGTGAAGATGGATATTACGGGCAATTTGACCCAGTTCAGGCGTTTATAGTGTGGTAGACTAAATATTTACACGAATTTATGTATGAATTTCCACATAAATGCACACAGCAACTGTACAAAACCCCGTCAAATCCTAAGCATTTTGATCCTCTGCAGACTGCTGTATATCATTCAAATCAAGGGAGTGAGATGTGGAATTTCCTCTAACAGTATTTCTAATATTTAGGAATCAGGCTTGATTATCTACTCTGTATTGAGAATTAACACGAACGAAATTGTATTAACATTCCACCTTTGATAAGTTGTGCATCACCTTTTCTGAAATCCTAGATGTGATCATTCTTGCGGTCTCAATAACCGAACTTGGTAATCCTGCCACTTCTGCTAAGAGAAGGCCATAATGGGGGATACGTTTTGGTCCTTCCTTAAGTTGAAACTAAGTAAAGCAGAATTTCAGCTCGCAGATAGTCATCCCTACGCAAGAAAAAATATGCAGAGATACCACCTTGAAGTCCAAATGGTTGTTTTTTAAGTCGACATGAAAGTGAAGAATTTTCACGTTGGGATAGATTGTTGCTAATTCTGATATGTTCTCCATATGAGTGGCAAAAATGGTATACCTGAAAAAGGTTAAAAAGTATGGTTCAGTAAAGAGAAAGATCAATTATAACATGCTCCTTTGACGGGTGATTAAAACTCTGCCAGGTGTTCTTCGTAAACTATTTAACACCAAATCATAGCAAGAGAGAATTTTTCTCTCCAAAATATCAAAAGAGAATCTATTGTTTCGGTCATTGTTCTTTCTTTTTTTTTTTGTGTCAATTTCCTTTCCACTTAATTAATAGGAATTTTTGAAGAGCTACCTGTGAAAGACCTTCAATTTACTAGTTATCAGAAATCCATGCCACTAAAGTTGCTATAAGCACTTGCTGATAATTGAATTTGAAAATCAAGAAACAATTACGCTTGAAGTGACAAAAGATGCTCGCAGCAACTCCACGCAATTGCAAATCCATCAGACGAGGAAGTTGCCCTCCCAAGTTCATCCATAACAATCAGACTCCTGCATCCAACTAAATATTTGTTGAAAAAAAAAAAACTGTCGTGTGTAAGTGTAGTGGAGAAGATCAAAAGGTGGAGCATTACCTTCGTGAGACATTCTGCATGATAAAAGCTGTTTCTTTCATTTCTGTCATGAACTACACATCCAGGTAAATTGATCCATAATTCTAAACCACATGATCAGGATCAAACATCCTCACAACGCAAGTTTCTAGAAATTGTACCGTACTAGAGTTTGATTCAAGATTATCAACTGCACCCATCCTGGTAAACATACGATCAACTACCCTGAGAGTTGAAAAGCGAGCAGGAACATAACACCCAACTTGAGCAAGAATAACTATGAGACACACTTGTTGAAGGTAAGTACTCTTTCCACTCCTGGGGGAAAAGGAATATAGAAAATAAACCTAAATATTTGATATTCTTCACGTAAACAGATATCCATCCAAAAAGAAGTAAACTTCACTGTAGTTCATATATAATTCACCTCTGAACTGTGTAAAAAAGACACAAAAATTTTAATGACGGACGTCAGGTTCTTAAGGCATGTTTGAAGGAAAATACACCATACATGTTTCCGCGACATAATTTAGTCTAGTTTCAACTTTTATAACAAATTTTGAATAGTAACAAATATCTGATGCATTTCTAAGTGAAATCGTTTTGAATCCTTGGTGCTTTTGGCTCATTGTTATAAGATTCACATTTGCCCATCTCTAAACCCATAAATGTTCCTTCTTGCTAAAAGCATTTGGTCGTGATTCGTGGGTAGCCATTTTCTAGGCCACCACCTAAACTAATAAATTTTATTGTCCCCAATCTTCCATTAAGTTAAGGAAGAAGGCAGTTACAACTGATATTCTAATAACATAATATAATATCAGATTATTTTGCATTTAGAATTACATAAAAGCTTTTACGTATCTTAGATTATTTTGTAACAACTTTCTATTATTAGCTACCAACTTGCTGTATATATGTATACATTCGTCAATTGCAATCGATCATCAATTAACTCCTCCATTTCTATCTCATTATACAACAGTACACCTTAGACATGAAACAGAAAATTTCTTACATATTGGGGCCCATCACAATCACCATATTTGAGGCTTCAGACAGAAATATATTATTGGCCTGCAATGCAAAAGATTAATTACTACAAAAGAAATAGTGCAAATCCTTCTACTACGTGAAAAAAGGGTGGCCCTGTGGAGGGAAGTTATAAGGACCATTGGCTATAATCATTACGTACAACAAAGTCATTGTGTATGCTCTCCAGGATTGGGTGTCTGCCAGAATCAATTGCCATTGGTCCATTCTCTAGCAAATAAAACAAAATATGAATTAAGAAGTTTTTTCATCGATGAACAAAAATTTTATAGAAATTGTCAATTTCTTACCTGTAAATTCTGGTCTTGTATATCTATCTACAGGTTTGGTTGATATCATATGAGCAAATGAATTCACAATCATATCCAACAAGCACAGGATCTCAGCAAGTAGTGTCAACACACAGACATTCTCACGAATGTCATTCAGAAGTTCTGTAAATATTTTCTATCATGATAGATATAAATGCAATACTGAAAATATGAGATAGTGCAAGTCCGAGGAACTAAATAGATCGGATCTGTATCTAGATATCAATTTGCTATAATTGATTATACAAATTTTAACATTTATTAAAGACAAAATCCAATTGAAAAATATAGTTACAAGTTAAACTAGAGATGTTGGAAAATATTTAGGTCGCGGATAATGAAAAATAAAAGCAAGTACAAAAAGGAATGGAGAGAAAAAAGTAAAATAATGGATTGAGTTTTAATATTTTCTCTTACAATTTTTTTTTTATTGGAAACACTGCCAGTTCACCTAACCAATATTCCTTTAAAGCATGTTAGTTCTCTCTTTACAATACTTGCAGCAAATATAGACCTAGCATAATATAATCCTTTCCAAGAAAATAACTAGTTAAACAAATAGATTAAAAGACTACTTAGATCTTGTTAACTGAGATGTGCATTAGTTATATGACATGACTCTGATTTTAATAACTTGAGTCTCTTTTCACTTCTCAGTGTTCTTACAAAAATCCATATGGTATTTCCTGTCAAAATCCGATGACTAAATATAGATATTTTAAGAGGGTATTTGGTAATAGAATTTTTTACATTACTAGAAATTACGTTTTCTGAGAATTATATTTTATGGGAATCACCATTTCTGAGTGAGAATGTTATGAATATGTTTGGTACGATTGGAAGATTCTTGGAAATACTTTGATGAGTATAACTAAAACTTTCCACCTTCATTAGTGTTACCACACCTCCCCAGAGAATCCTTTGTTGGAAAACATAGTTAAAAATACATTTTGGTTGAATGTTGGTTTTCTAGGAAGAATTTTTAGAATATTAATACTAAACATGAAAATCTAACATTCTCAGCTTAAGATTTCTAAAAACTTAAACAAATCCCCTTATAAAACATCCCCTAAGAGAAGTTTGCTGCTCACGTGCAACAACCAGAATTTTCCAACTAATAAAGTGATCTTTCAGTAGTTTCCTTTCTTGGCCCTTGCCAAAATCAACAAGAGTAGTTCATGCACTAATAAACAAAGAGCAAACATGCCAAGCCTGTGAAAGTTTGTATTGGTAAATGCAGTGCATCAATTACTACCTTCCAGACAAACCTCTGTTCTAGTATAACATTCTGCAGCTGCAGATTTGTTCCTAGCATTCAACTGCAAATTTCATTAAAACTTAAAATCGAGACTTTTCAAGAGCCTAAACATTCTGAAGCAAGTAGCATCTTATAGAGTGGTAACATATCAGACAAATGCAACAGCATTTTGTGTCAAATTTTTTTTCAGAAGCTTGCATAATGTTTCTCAGTTTGAGTCAAAAAGTATTTTTGGGCTTACCAAAACAAAGATAGTTTCAACAATGAAAATCCAAAATGTCTAATCAACATGGAAACTTCTAAGCGTCCTTAGCACATGAGCCATCTTATATAATAAAGAATCTCCATAAAATAGTAGGTAGGAGGCAGATGAACAGGGGGAATGGTTCTCTCATGTAAGAATTTTGCATGACTTTGTCATGTGAAAAATTTGCTGAGTACCTCTCTCTTCATAGACTTTACAAATTTTGATAAGGAACCCACCTACTCAATAGTGACGAAGGGATAGCTAAACACAAACTTTTCACATGACCTTGTCTTCGCATGGCACCTTGTCATGAGAAAATATAACATGAGAGAATCCTTTCCT